AACTTCGATACCAAATTGTAAGCGACTAATTTTTCCATTCTACTTTAGTTACTTAACCACACCTCCAACCACTTGGAGAAGTCTCACTCTCAACCTCTATAAGTCTTATTTTGGACTTGGGCTTGCTAGCCCCGAGAATGGCATCCCTGCCACTCAACTTTTGCACTTGATCCAAGTGTTCCACGTGTCTAATCCCATGACCAACACCCCAAGGTACCACCGACATATCAACCTGTTACACTAATGCCATGCCCCTTCACCTTGGTCACACTAGTGGTCTAACACCACCTACATCACTGTCCTGTTTCTCAAGGAATGAATCATCCATCCATGAGTGATTATCCCAGATCCACTCCTTAGCATCCTTAGGATGCCCACAAACATAGAGATTAGCCTTCCCCAATATCCCTTTTCTGGTCCCCACCAAGTCCCATGCCCGTGTTTGCCAACACTGCCACTGGATCAAGGCCCACAAGCCCGACCACTAAGTCCCACAGTCCTCTAAAACGTCCTCCACACATGACTGTATCTTTGGTCTCTACATTAGAGGATTGCTCCTCTTTCTTTTCACAGTCTAGGACTTTGGGGCGACATTTTGGAACACCGTGGCCTTACGCGAGCCTCGTGGGTACTCTCCTTGCCTTCTGCCTTTGAGTGCTTTAGCCATGGGCTTAGAGCGAGGTTCCGTTGAGCCACGCCAGGTATCCAAGTAAGTAGTGCCACCCACACTTGGACTGGGAGTATCGACCATTCGATCTCCTAGGGGAACTAAAGCCGGCTCTTGAACACTTCACCAAACTACCCCGCTTGTCGATCCGTACTCACTCTAGTCTTGGACTTCCCAGTAGTCAAATCATCACCCAACACTGGGTCTGGCCTTCCTAGGCCAAATTGGCCTTTCCTAGCCAAACTGGCTCCATTGGGCTCCAACCCCCACACTCTCTCTACTATACTTTTGGAACCCCCCGCAGGCCCCCTGCCCCCCCTGGGGGACGATTGCTTTGGGCTTTCACCCAACTGCCTGTATTAGTATTCGGACTCGGACTCGGACTCAAACTCAGACTCAGACTCAAACTCGGTCTCGGTCCCAGTTTCGAACTCAAACTCAAACTCGAACTCAGTCTCAGTCTTGGTCTCGATTCCACCTTGGACTCCATCTCGAACTCCATCTCGGGTCCATCTTGGACTCTATCTCGGGTCCATCTTGGACTCTATCTCGGGTCCATCTCGGACTCCATCTCGGGTCCATCTCGGACTCCATCTCGGGTCCATCTCGGACTCCATCTCGAGTCCACCTCAGACTACAACTCGGGTCCATCTCAGACTCCATCTCGAATCCATCTGGGACTCCATCTCGGGTCCATCTCAGACTCCATCTCGGGTCCATCTCAGATTCCATCTCGGGTCCATCTCGGGTCCATCTCGGACTCCATCTCGGGTCCACCTCGGACTCCAACTCGGGTCCATCTCGGACTCCATCTTAGACTCTATCTCAGGTCCATCTTGGACTCCATCTCGGGTCCATCTCAGATCCATCTCAGACACTTCCACATGTTATATGTTGGTCCTTTTGGGTCCCTTTTTGGAGCTTTGCTTATTGCTCGCTTCGTGCTCGCTCCTCGAGCACTTTGTTGAGAGTTCCACTCCCGCTCTCAACCTTTCAAGTCGGAGCTTTAGTCCAAACATGTTACGCTCGTTTGGCTTTCGCTCCGGCCACTACCACGTGGCACCTGTTTTGGCTCCACTTTGGGGCCTAGGGATTTTGTGTCTCACAACATCTAGATTGCTCAAGCAACAGCAGCAGCCCAAGGCTGTGAGAAAGATCTAGCGACTAGAGTAGGATTGATCATCCTCCTAGTGGTGGAGTGACCTGTTGCAGCATCCGAATGTGCCACTTGACTAGAATGTAGTGTTCATCAGCCATGGTGACAGGATCTTTGATGTGGAGATGTTTAAGATCTTCGAGTAGGTGCTGGATTTTGTGACAATGTGCCAGTTTGGAAGAGTTCTAGATGTGGTGACCAGGTATTTTTATCTCTTTTTCTTTTTATCTGTTTTGCCAATGCATATTTTGCACTACTCTAGGTACTAGGCTCGCTCGGCAGCAGCATTGCTTGAGCAAGAGGGCTGTAGAGAGATTGGCAATCAAGTAGCCAAAGAAAAACTATAATTAGGTTATACTTCTCAAGATTGTCTATTAGGATCACTAGGAGCTTTTTAGGAAGCAATGTAAAGAGCCCATCATCAAGAAATCCATTAAGAAGAGGGAATTTTTGCTAGGAAACCATTTGAACTGGAGAACACACATAGCTGTGGTTTTTGTTAGTGCGATTTTGCTTGCAACTCCTGCATTTGCAGCTGATGCTCTCAAGACATGGTCTTGTCTTTTGAAAGAATGTTGGTAATTTTATTCTTCTCTTTTAAGATAAGTGTTTTTTTTTTCCTCTAGATTGGAGCTTGCTCGATGCATTCCAAATCTTTTGTGCTTACAAACTTGTAATGATCGACCTGACGAAACCAAGTGCCCAGGTAAGTCTTGAGATTTTGTGTAAAACTTTTTTGGATCAATCGATCGTTGTGATTCATGAATACTTTCAAATAAAATGCAGAGACATTTTCAAGAACAAGGTGGTGGACGAATTCAACGATTGTGCGGTGAGCCACAAGACGAGGGGCATTTCCCAATCCCGCCACCTGAATACTAAGATAATGTATGCAGTATTTTATTAAGCAATAATATTTTAAAATCTTTTTCCTAACTGTAAATATAGTTTATTAATACAAAATACTATGGAATTACAGTTTCTATAACATATATATTTATGAAAGATTTTGTTAGTAATTGTTTTCTTGACTGGATCTGGATAGTAATATATTAATGTTCCTAAAAAATTATTATTTTATATTCTAAGTAAACCACATAATTAAATAATGTCTTGCTAATAAAAATGAGTAATAATTATTCTTATTAATTATTTTCTTTTGTTTGATAAAATCTTAATATAAGTTTATCCCAAGTAAAATATAATTTACATATAACAAATTATTAATATTAGAATTTTTATTTTTATTTTTTTCTGGGTTTGGTATTTTTTAAATATATTCATATTACCAAATAATAATTTGTATATAGTATTTTTATTAATGAATATTTATTCTTACTTTTGCCTAAGAATATTTTGTTCTAAATATTTATATTATCAAGTTTACAAGAATTGATTTTTGTGTTCACATAATTCCCTCAATTCTTCTTTCAAAGTGGAATATAATTTTTTATAATCAAAACAGTATTTTGCTAATAGGACAACATATGCTAGGCAAGTGCTAGTAAGAAATAAAGACATGTTGCTTTGGTGTTTCTCTCTCCTGTTGAGAGTCATTGTCATTGTCGGCCTACTTGCACTGAATTAATGCTTAAGAAAACTATTGTCTCCTCATTAAAAAGGAAATTAAAAAGGAACTTCCAAAGATCAAAGGTTCAGAGTGTATTGCCAAGTTCTCATATTGCATTATGCATCACACACGAAACCTCGAGTTTCGTTGACCACTTCTCCTCGTTCATTTCCTTTTCCTGCGGACTGCGCTGTTGCTTGGAATAGATCGCGTCTAAGACGCGAAACGCAATGTCTCCTACAAATCCAGGTAGAAAACCAGTCTACGCAAGAAAAATCCACCAGCAACATTGTTGCATGCCCAAAACTAATTTACTCGAGAAAACGTGAAAAGTGGAACAAAATCTTACAACAAACTTGTCCACTCTCATCAGATCTATGGCGCTGAAAACCGCACCGACCATTCCCGCCTTCTCATTTCCTTGAATCCTATACACCAGCATTTCTCGTCACAACAGCAACGAAACGAACAAAGAAACGGGAGAGAAGCAAAAACGCGACAGAAAAATCCACCTGAAAAAGCATGAGTTTATCGGAATCACCCGAGGGCGGTCTTCTAATTCGAATCTTTTATTTCCAACTTTCCAAGAAAAAACAAAGACCCAGAGGAATGGAAACAGCTCGCAGTCTGAATCTATGGGGCGAGAACTCCATAGGATCACTCCAAACTCAAACTTGAGTCTTGCATAGGCATTCACATAGCCGGGCAACTTTGTAGGCGTCGATTGATGCGTCATGATGAGCAAGAAAATAAGGAGGATGGAGACTAGTTAATGATGGCATTTAAAACATCAAGCTTGGCTCTTCGACCATGTGTTTGCGTCCAACGACGAGCTTTGATAATCCAGTCTGGGTGGGGAAGAAGTTCTGCCAAAGCCCACTCGGTCACTGTGGTGATGTTCAGATCCAGCAACAAGTAGATCCTTAGGATCACAAAAGAATCACAAGTTCATAGAAAAATACGAAGTCTCGAAGTTCCCATACCAAGAGCAAAACTCTGTGATCTCCACGAAATTAGGAAATTTTGCAAAAAGCTGTGCATCCTTTCCCGTTGGCAACCAAATCGAGCTAGCTCAAGTAGTCAGTGATCAAGAAAGCGCTCTCACCTCGAGGAACTCATCAATCATTGCAATGAAAACCGAGGCCTTGGATCCAATGTCAGTCTTCTTCATAAGGATGCGATCCATGATGTTGAACAACGTCACGACTCGCATCCTTATGAATAAGACTTACTTTGTTTAGCGCCCTCAAGTGTGTTCTCACTCCCACAACCTGGCCAGCCTCGGAATCTCTCAAGAGCACGTCCCGGATGATCTGCGTGTTTCATACTCACCCTTTTAAGCGCGACAAACAAACAGATCCAACACTGACTCGAAGAGATGGAGCACTCACCACAGCGCCTGTTGGGGCTCATTCTCCATTTGAAAAAGTGATGGTTATCCCCGATTATGGAGCCACTTGCTACAAGGCCTGTAGCTCAGTTGAATTCAACACCTTGACTTTTATTGACTATGACTTTGTCTTGCAGCTAACCATGAGCGATGCTATTGTGGAGCGGCATAACTTGTCAATAGATGCTACCTTACTCAACTATATCACTAGTTCAAATATTTCATGCTCCTCTACATTGTGACTTCTTCAACAACAATTGTTGTATGTAAAACAGGGTAGAGCAGCCATCACTCCAGCAGCTCTCCAAGAATTGGAGACCAGTTCCACCCATGGCCAGAGAATTTCTCGAGATCCACGAATTTTTGTCCCTTAACAGTCGTCTCTAACGTAAATAAAATCTAATCGACTATTCCAAAACTTTGTCTAGAAAATATCAAAGCTTGAATCCAGAGTGTATTGCCACAACTCCCTGCACTAAGTTCTCGTATTGCACGTTGGAGAAGCCCGCGTTGATGATCATTCTCGCAAAGTCATCCTGCAAGGCCTTGCTATAAGATGAAAGAAGAAAAAGAAAAAGGCTTCAATTACCTGTTTTGGGAACTTTCTAATGCTCTCAACCAGGTATTGATACGAGTTCCGGTCCTTCGCAACCATTTGCCCGATTGCCGGTATTACTGAGAACGAGTAGAAGTCGTAGCTGCGAAAGATCGAGAGGTAAGAAACAGGAAAGCGAAGCTCTTGCAGTCTTACATTTGTTTGAAGATTGGCGTCTCGACATGGCTGAGCTCCAGGCAGAGAAATCTTCCACCGCGTTTTAGCACCCTATGAGCTTCCCTGAGAGCCTTGTCAATGTGAGTCACGTTTCTAATACCGAATGCGATGGTGTAGCCATCCATGGAGTCGTCAGCGAAAGTGAGAGCCTCCGCATCGCCTTCGACCCATACAAGCGATGGCAGCTCTCCAAGACCTGCTTTCACCATCACGAACTTAAATCGGATTTGTCCACAAACGGAAATTCCTGGCTCACCCCTTGTTTTGGCTCGCTGCCTTCCCACATCGAGCATCGATGCATTGATATCACACACGTAGACTCGCGTTTCGTCGACCACTTCTTTCTCGTTTACTTCCTTTTTCTGTGGACTGCGTTGTTCCTTGGAATAAATCGTGTCTAAGACGCGAAACGCAATGTCTCCTACAAATCCAGGCACAGAAAATCAGTCGCGCAAGACAAAAAGAAAACAAAACCAAACTGCGTTTACCTGTTCCACCAGCAACATCGAGGTGTTGCATGCCCGGAAATGGTTGAAGCTCCGAGACTAATCTACACGAGAAAACGTGAAGGATAGATAGGAAAATCTTCGAGCAAACCTGTCCTTCCAGAGCCGATGAAGCCCTCCACTCATGATATCATTCATGAGATCATAATTGGAAGCTACGCTGCTGAAAACCGCCCCAACCATCCCCGCCTTCTCATCCTCTGGAACTTCCCTAAATCCTACACACCACCATTTCCATTCCTCGTTACAACAGCAACGAAACCAACGCAAGAACAAGAAGCAAAAGCGCGACAGAAAAATCCACCTGAAAAGCACGGCGCTCACCGAAATTCGCGACGCCAGAGCTGGATCTCTCGCTGTGGATCCAGCGAGCGCGCAACGCCTTCCCGGTGGCAGCTCGCAGGAGCGCCCCCCTCATGCCCCTGTCCAAGAACCCTAAAATCCCGGGCTTAAACCCTAAACCACGGAATTGCCCTAAAACGCCAGGTGGACAATGCCAGGAATATGCCCCTTGGCTGTCCCAGCCTAGCATGCCTTGGCATCTTCCTCCAACTCACATTCATTGGCGGGCAATCCAAAGAAACCATGCATGAGCGCCCTAATAAACAAAACAATCCCCAAACAATACAGATTTCTCCTTGTTTTGTTAGCCCGGCGTAGTGGACACGGTGACGTATACGGCTCGGACTATTCACCGGCCACGTGTCTGTCAGACACGCGTTGAATCTTCTCTTCCTCCTAGCCTCGTGGAAATGGTCGCGTAAAACTTTTAAAAGCTTTGGAAAATTCCCAAAGGGCTTCGTCCTCGCCTACAACATAGACGAAGACTGCGCGTAAATCCATGTCGTCTTGACCTAGTCACGCCCTAACTGGATCCTACCGTTGGCGCTATGCCGCGTCAGCGTGCCAACGAGGTAATGGAGCATATTCGGCCACGCCCAGGCGAATATTTCTTCCATCTTACCTTGCCTTCTCTTATTTCCCATTTAGGGCTATAGGGTTTTCCGGGATCCCAGCGACAGGATCGACGCTTCCGCCATAGCTCGGAGTCTCCAAGGTGTGATTTTTGGCGTCTATCCGCCTATAAGCAGCTCCATCGCTTCCACATTGGATCTAGCATTCGCAGCTCCCGGGGGGCATTGTTCATCGGGATTTCCTGCTCGATTTCGCGATTTATGGTTCCTAGCGGGGCAAAGATTGCACAGGAGGAGCGGCGGCGGCACCGATTGCGCGGCCGGGCAGCAGCGCGGCAGTGATTTCTCCCCCCCTCTTTGCTCACCCTCCTGGTGGAAATATTTTGGGCCTTTTTGGGCTCTTCCGGGAATGGGCGTGAGTGGGATTTGCCCCCAGCGGAGGAATGTCACAGGGAATGAATCCGACTGCCCGGGGGAATCCACGATCTTCTTCCAGAAGAAGGTCCTCAAGGACTGCGCCAGCACGCGCTACACCGACGCCGACACCAAGAGGCTCCTCCTCCAAGACGCGGATTTCCGGCATAGCTGGTTCGTCTCGTCGCTCAATTTCGCGCGCCTGCTGCTGCTCTTCGCCGCCGTGGCCTTCCTCCTCTCCTCGGCCTTCATCTATGGATCGGGCGTGCTGCTGCTCAGGGCCAACGATCTGGGCCGCCAGTGCGTCGCCGCTTCCTCGTCCTCGATGATTCCTCCTTCTTCACGCACGTATAGGTTCGCCATGGTGACGTGCTCCGATGGCTCCTCCAGCGTCCCGCACAGATCGTTCGAGGGGCTCATGGAGCTGGTGACGCCAAACAAGAGGGCGTATGTGGATCTTCACGGTTATGACTTCATCGATGCGAGCGATTGCCTGGACAGGAGCCGGCCTCCCAGCTGGAGCAAGATCCTCGCAGTACGCAAGCACTTGGCGAGCTATGAGTGGGTCTTCTGGAATGACGCGGTGAGAACGATTCTTGCTTTATCTCTCGCGACTCGTGTCTTACTGATATTAATGTTTTCTTTTTTTTCTTCGTGCTCGCTGCCGTGCTGGTGATGGATTTCTTCCAGGATTCTCTAGTGACTAATCCGACGATTTCTCTGGTAAGCATCATGATCTCGCAACTCAAGGCATTTGTTTTAGTGTGATCAAGCAAGCACTACGCTCTAGCTTTTTTCTTTTTTCTTTTTTTTCTGGCTTGCTAAGAAACTTAACTGACCTTTCTGCGTAACTTACCAGGAGGATATTGTGAATTCGGTCGTTGGCGACGTGGAGTTTCAAGACATGCCAGATTTCATCGTTACGGAAGACGTTACTGGCGTCAATGCAGGTAAAATTGTTTCCTTTTTGTCTCGTCGCGAATAGTAGCATCACACCACTTTCCTTTTATTGTTTTACCTTCTGCACTGTTCTTACGCTGCCTCTTTTCTCGGAGACCGTGTCCTGAAGCCCACTGTTTCTTCCCGTGCAGGCATGTTTTTCTTCCGCAACTCGGAGTGGAGTCAACAGTTTCTGGAACTGTGGTGGAACCAGACGGCGTTTATTAAACCCTTCGGCCACAGTAAAAGCGGCGACAACGACGCCCTGAAGCATTTAATCCGGAGCATGGATGCAGCAGAGAAAAGGACTCACGTACGCGTAGCGCCTATGCAGTGCCTCTTCAACTCCAACTTGTGGAGACCCTCCTGGAAGAACGGCCATCGCTTGATCTCGTGGACAAAGTCGGTCTGGCATGGTAAGAGCTTTCTCTCTTTTCTTTCATTGCGAGATTCTCATGACACTTTCTTCGTCCAGGAGTTTATGCCAAGGGGGACTTCATGGTCCATCTAGCAGGTTTAAGCGACAAGAAGACTTGGATGAAGAAGATTCTCAAAGAACTGGACGAAGAGAGAATTTGGAGCACAGGAAATCGTCGAGCAGGTCCTCCCTAAACTTCGAACAGGCAACGCATGGCCAAAACTACACACACCCACACACAGTACAGAGCACGGGAAAGCATTTTGGATTCGAGGCACATACTATTCTTTTTTTTTCTTTTCTTCCCCCTTGTTTCTTTTCGGTCGGGCCATTTCGTTTTGCGGCATAGCTCACACTATTCTATGGTGGATTTCTTCGCTCGCAGAGCTGCCGGGGACGACAGGGCCAAGGATTTGTACGATGATGACGACTACGAACGATGACGAGCGATTACGCTGAGCAGCTACTGAGCTTGGTGGAGAGATTTCTCTCTGCGAGAAGATGGTGAAGACGAAGATACGCGAGAGTTTGATCCACCCAGGTTCCATTTTTGATTCATTCATGTTGTAGGAGAAGAAGAAGCGTGCAGTGGCTGCTCGTTTGTTTTATTACTCTCTTTCTTTTGTAAAGTTATAGATGAATTGGAGCACACTGAAGAAAACAATGATGTAAAGCGTTTGGATCGATTTGCATGATTGATTGATTGACAGAACAAAGTACAAGAAGTGCGTAGCTGTGTTTCACATGGTTCCACTCAAGAAAATTCTTTGATTTAGTGATCAAAGTTTGTCACCAAGCTCGAAAATTAATGTTAGTTTACTAGTGATCAAAAAACGATTTTTCTGAAGGGATCGCGACTTTGCTGTGGTGAGAAAAAGAAAATCTCGTCAAGAACCGCTTGGATTCGGCAAAACCACGACTTGTCCATGCGTCTCTATGATCACATCAATCAAATTCTTGAAGATCAAACCAAAGAAAAGATTCGGCGGTCAAAAAACGAAAATCGTCACAAATCTTGGCAAACTGTCAATCAACGCCGTGATCACAAGGAAAATTTTGTCAAAGAGTTCACGAAAACTACGACTTTTCCATGCGTCTCTGTGATCACATCAATCAATTTCTCGAAGTTCAAACCGAAGAAAAGATTCAGTGCGAAAATCGTGTCAAATTCGCTATGATCATAAAACGATTTTGCAAAGATCACATGATGAAAAAGAAAAGAAAATTTCGTCAAAGAGTCGGCCTGGACGAAAACACGACTTTTCTATGCGTCTCTGTGATCAGATCAATCCGAATCTCGAAGATCAAACCAAAGAAAAGATCTAGTTATCAAAGTATTACCACAAAGCTGGAAAATCTGTCAAAGTTAGATCAAAAAACGATTTGGCAGCCATGCTGAAAAAAGGAAAATCTTGTAGCAAAGACCGCGACCAAAAAAGAACTTGCCTGGTGGATTCGATCACGACGCCGACTTGGCCATGATGCTTCTCACCGTGGTGAGAATCCTCACGTAGTCGAAGAAGAGCCGCGACTTATCGCCAGTGATCCCAGTCCGAGAAGTCCTGTTGTTACCCGAGAAGTTGTTGCACGGGCTTCCACCGGCCACCAGATCGAAGCCACCCCCGGCTCGAGCAGCGAGCTCCTCGATCCTCTCTCGAGACAGCTCCGTCACGTCGCCCAAGACGATATGTGTTCCTCGCTGCCTGGTTCTATGCCACCAGCTGCGCAGAACTCGGTGGCAGTCCGCGCTGGTTTCGACGCTCACGAGGAACTTGATTGGAATACCGAGCTTCTCCAACGCCACCTCGATGCCGCCGATCCCCGAGAAGAGCGAGAGGACCCGGATACCGGATGGGAAGAGCTCCCCCAGCACCGAGAGATGCCATGCCACCGTGTGGACTTGCATGGCGTTCCCGAGAGCTTTGATCCGCTCGGCCGGGGACTGGCCGGAGCTCGTGTGCCCGACGTCGAAGCCTTGCACTACTTCCAGCTCCTGGACTTCGAGCGGCGCCAGGATCCCCCGGCCGCGCCAGACGAGGTTGGCTCTCTTCATGTCGAGGAAGACTTGAGGATCGACGTCGTCGTCGTTGTAGAACGCCTCGGCGCTGGCCTGAACGCGAGCAGCTCGGTCGCTCGAGGTGGTGATGCAGTTGAGCTTGACGCGCTTGTCCCACGGCGGCCGGACGTTCTCCATCCCTGGGACGAGCTCCTGGATCGTCATCGGTCCCGGATGCAGCGCCCTTCTTCCTTTGACGGGGAGGTTGTGGACGTAGCCTCGCGGCCTGGACGCAGCGCAAAACCATTTGGAGTTGACGAGCTCTGGCTCGATGCCGTCGAGTCCTCCCAGCTCCCGCGAGGCATGACCGCTACGTTCTCGAAGTAGAAGAACGGTGGAGGGAGACTGGAAGATGGCAGCGTTCTTGATCTGGGTGGCTGCCCCGGTATGCCAAAGCCCATCCCATCGCCTTGGTTTCGCTGCTCCGGCAGGAAGCCATCGAAGTTGTCCTCCAAGTCGTCGAAGTTGGCGAAGAAGGTATCGTCTTCTCGTTTCCTTTTCCCGTCCGTGGTGTCAACTCTCCGGCTGCTGCTTCCTGGCCTTGATTCTTCGTCCCACTCTCGGTAGATCCTTGCAAGGTCTGGTTTTTCTTCAAGCCGTGGTGCGGCTTCCTTGGCGAAGATATGCTCGACGACGTCCTCGAGCTTCGCATCGTTTCCTACAGAAATCAATGAATACAAAAGTAGCAAGCATGATCATCGGTTACCGAACAATCCGAGCGCATTCGCTATCTGCTCGTCTGAAAAGCCCATGGATTTGAGTCTACCATGTAGATGTTTGTCCGATGCCTCCTACGCAAAAAAACGAAAAATGAAGAACGACTAAAACGTTGTCGCGAACTTACCTCTGCTCGAAGCAGATCTGGATGCTGCGAAAAAATGTAATCAGCTATGGCTGAGTCTTGGGCATTGGCACCTATGAAAAAGAAAGATAAAGGGAATGTAAGTCATAAGCTTCGCTTGCAAAGCACAAGAAAAGAAAGAACAACGTAAGAGAAAAGCTCGCTTACCACATTCCTTGCGAGCGTTCGTGATCATCTCTTCCGAAAGTTTGCCCCTGAAAATATCTTCGAGAGAGGTGTGCTCCTGCGATGATCACCTTGTCCATCGAAAAGGAAGGAAAAAACACTCTGGAGCCTACCTGCATTGCGAGGATCTTTGACGCGAGATCCTCCACGCTGCCGCAATCTAGAGAAGAGTCAAGCTCCAGGAAGAAAAAAGCTGAGGATTACCCGAAATCTCCATGGCGCGATCGATGAGCGATGATGAGAACCCCATCGCCCGCAGCTCGTTTCTGCTGGATCGAGGGATCGCGCTGCTCGCGGTGTCGTCAGCCATCTGATCGTGAAAAAGAGATTGAAAAGAGGGCAAGAATACAAGGGAGAATCCAATACCTTGTAACCGTCCTCAACATCGAAAGAGAAGGATAGCGAGTCATCGTACTCGTCCTCGGATTCGGAGGAGGAGCCATACTCGACAAGCATGGCTGGAGCGACGAAAACAAAACCTCTCGGGCTCCCAGTAAGAGGTGTCGCGGGAGATTGGAACCGCCGACGAGTGTGCAAATGTTAATAGGTTTGCATTACAAAAAAATATTACATGATTAAAAATTATAAATTTACACCATGTTTTAACTTCTTCCCGCCCTTCTGTCCCTTTTAATTAATTGTAATAATGGATTGTATTATTCGGCTGTATCTTTAAATTTGATATCTTTAAAATTTAATAAATATCTCTTTTCTCTCTCCTATGTGGCACCTAATTTTACACTTCTTTCCAAGAGGTTGAAAAGAAGCGGAGAGTTAGGTGCCACACAAGAAAAGAGAAAAGAGATATATATTATATATTTAATTTGCTCAGCTTCTTATTAAAGTTTATTTTGTCAACTAAGTTTACATAAGCTAATAAATCTTTGCGCCTATGGTTTTGCAACCAGAATTTATCCGACCCCCATCAAGCTCTAGCAGATAAATAGTAATTCTACCCAATCATTCATTTATTCATTCATTCATTCATGTTTTCTCACCGTGCCCCCTCCCACATTAGACCAGTGAGATGATGGTTGCCCTTGCACAGAGTTTGTTTGCCCACAGACATGCAGATTTGACCCCCATTGCACCGGCATGTGATTGTATGTGGGGCACATGTTGATAACATGGTTGACATCTTCGACTTTCTCGAGAGTGCTTGCAGGATTTTCAGTTTAACTTGCTAATGTGGCTGTCTTGAGAATTTCATTTAAGTCCAGGCCCAGTGTCAAGGATCATCACCAGTTCTGAACAAATGCAAGTGCTTGCCCTGGCCAGTGAATCGAGGTGTGAGTAAGGAGTCGGATGCTGCAACAACCAAGAATGGAGTCTGTGACGTGCTTTGTCGCTTATTCTCAATATTATAAGTCGCAGAGCCTAAAAATTCTCGAGACCTGGCTACAATCTGCTGTTTACCACTGGGTAAATTTGAGATTGTCAAAACTGAACTTTAAAAAATTTAGAATATATTGTGGAACATAAAACAGCAAAAATTACCATGCATCACAAGAACAGCCACCTTTGAAACAGTGAAGTTGCTGACCATCTTGACCAAGATCCTCTTTCTTTTTCAGAAATGAGGCATGGCAATCTCCATGTTATTACTGACAAGAACACTAGGTTTGTGAAATTCTTGAAGCAATGGTATGCAATTGCAACCTTCTCCTCTTTGTTGCAATTGGCGTGCCAAAAGTTCTTTCACAACCAACCTCGTGAGCTCACCTTGTATTTCTTTTATATTAGGATGAGACCAATCCCACACATGAAATGGGTGCATCTTTCCACCAACTTGGAGCTTCTTCAAGCCCTTCTCTTTCACCATCTTTCTTAATCTCATATATCCTTCCACTTTTCCCATATATCTCCGTGAGGATAATGTACGGGGTGCCATTGTTTAGGTCGATGGTAAATATATGTTCTGCAGCGTATTTTCCGTGTTCAGCATTTATATGCTTCCTGCAGGAAGAGAAAAAAGTCATCCAAATTCTTGCCTCCTGCTCACAGGGCATGGTCTCCATAAGTTCTTTCCCAATCATGCAATTGTAATGCTCAATCCCGGGCACAATACCAAAGTCTGAAAACCATCTCATTGAATCGCATGTGTCTCATCCATTATCATCGTGCATGCCCGGATGGATGTCCTACATAGCCTTTGAGTATTAAGTCCTAGACATGCACATAGAAGACATGATATCGTCCTGGTGGTCTCCTTTAACAATGACACCTGTCCCTATGTAAGCCGGGCAAATGCCACCAATGTCTAGCAACACTAACTTCACCTTGACGTTCAACTTCTTGATTCTGTACATCATTTCATTGACCATTCCTTGTTTGTCTTGTCTCTTTTCCAGCTTGATGGTACCGAACCAGTCAATGTCAGATTGAAGTGCGGTACCAGTATGCAGAAGTCAACTTGTTTCCCTTTGCCATAGTAAACTCACAGGAAGTCCAGTGCTTTCTCAACAGCTGGCCTGAGCACCAAGGCGCACTTCTTTGTTATGGTTACCTGATATATACTTCCATTGACAATGAAATCCCAGTCCACATTCCTGGCTGAAGAAGGCTTGAAGAGCACATTCTTATGGTCTAATAGAATTTGCTGCGCCTCATGTCCACCTCCTCTACGTTCCAGATGATACCTTGGACCAACCTTAGGGAAGCTCCCTGCCAAAACAGGTCCGAATTCCCCATCTTGTTGCAGCTCCCTGTATTGTAACTTGCCACCCCTGGGAATGAGTATGTTGCAAACAAAGCTCTCTAGCAGCATTGCCTGGATATCCCAGATACCATCTGGTTGCTCCACTGACAAGAAATGCTTCAATCGTGGTAATGGGAGATTTGACAGCAATTGCTCTTCAACATATGCACTGGCAGGAGCCAAACGGGAAGATGTGAACGTCTCGTCAACATAGCTTGTGAGCTGGATCGTCCGGCAGTGCCTGGAGTTTTATAATCTTGTCAAAATCTCTGACCAGTCCAATGGCATGGCTTATCTCTGCCTGCGCTTCCAGCCACACCTTCTCCAGCACGTATAGAGGCGTACCACCCCATTTGAGGAAGTGTTTCCGCACTTCCTCTGGATCATGTCCAAAGTTGTGCTCGTTGAGGGCCAGAAGCTCATCTTCTGTCCAGATGGGATTGAACAGCATGTACACATTGCTGGCCTTTGCAAACTCGTAATAATTAACCTTCTTTGATGAGCACGTGAGCAAAAACCTGCAGTACAAACTCCACTCCCTTTTCGGTATGAACATATTAGCCAAATTTGCACCTTGCAAAGCCCTGCAAAGGCATGTTTACCTTGCATTTGGAGACTGGTTTCTAATTTGCCTTCCTATTTGAAGGACGTATTCAATTTTCACTTTGCACTGATGAAGTACAGAAATATTTTAGCATTGCCACTTGCAGGGCAAAGAAAATTTATACATTGCAGTATGGATAATATTCTATTGAATATTATTAAGAATACTATAAGAATAGCCAAGCTGACATGGATTAGATCTAGGGCAGTAGCAATAGAACAACATGGGATTAAAACATTCTTTGTTATTGCTAATAGGAGGGAAAAAAAAAAGATAGATCAGCAAGATATTGCAAGGCAACCACTTCATGATTCCCTTTCTGGAAAAAGACCTAAAATCAAATCAGAGGATGGAGATCTTTCAACAACAAAAGAAGAAATTGATACTTTAACCAATAAGAAGAGGAAGAAGAATAGAGCATTCAGAACTAAGTGGTAACTTAGTTTTCTTTGGATGTAGATATTGAAGGCAAACAAAGGATAAAATGTATAGCGAGTTATGCATGCATTTCTTGAGCTTGTGGTTGTTGAAAAGCTATGCAATTAAATCTATAAATGGTTGCATGTTTCTTGGCCTTTAGGCTTTTGGAAGATGCTATGAATATATCTACATTAGGTATGCTTCAAATTCATGGTGTATCTTGGTTATCTCGTGGTTTGCTATCCATATGCTAGTTGATATACTTTTGGAATTGAATAATTTCAACAAAATCTTTCAAGTTGAAACTGTGGATATTGCTAGCATTGTTGAGTATTTAGATAGTACTTTAAAAAGTATCAAAAGAAAATTTCTAAAAGAGATTTTTGGTATGAAACATTTCAGTAATTTTGTGGAGGCTATTAAAGATGGATTTATCAAGTTTGTAGATACTAGAGGGGAACAGCATAAACATGCCTTAGATTATATTTCTATTCCAGAGAGCAAAAGAAATGGTAACTTGAACTCTTGCTTAGGTTTAAGCAAGGAGTGTGTTCAGAAACTATATGTTAATATGCTAGCCAAAATGGGAAAGGATATAAGTATGTTTAATGCTATAAAACTGTTCAACTCAAAGAATTACTCAAATTATGAGGAAGAATTGGATAACAACGCTTACAAATGGCTAGATATCTTACTGAACTAGTTTAGTGCTTTTATTGATAGGGAAAAATGTAAAGTAGAGCACACAATATTTATAACTATTATGCAAAGTAATCTACCAACAAAAATAGCAGATATGCACAAATAATATTTCCATGATAGATACATCGATGGAACTGTGGAAAATCATTTTTTTATACCTATGAGCACTACTTGTGCTGAATATGGATTTTCTTATTAAAATCAGCTGAAAACTATTTCAAGATGCTCTCTAAATATTGAAACTTTAGATGATTTGATATTCATCTATTTAAATGGTGATGATGACTAGAACAAAATCAATTAGGGGCATATTTATGATGGATGGCATCCAAAGAAGGAAAGAAGGATTTTGTGTGGTTGAATTAGTTGTATTAAAAACATTTTTAATATATAAATATTTATATATTAGGAAGTATAAATTAATTTTTATCTTGCACAATGAAGGACTATTGTAATATTCACCCTTCCCATCATGAAGGAAAAAGAAAGGTTGCCTTGCAAAATACTAAACTTAATTGCTCTACAAATTTGAGGCTGGCCAAGTACCACTAGGGCACACCTACACCACCGTGCCCTTCC